TGCTAGTGGAGTTATGACCCCCCCCCCCCCCCTTCGTTAAGATAGGACATTAAGACAAGATGGCATTAAAGTCAGCTTCATGGTAGAGAGTTGTCTTTGGAAAAGTGAGCAACTGAGGGAGTAAAAAGAACTTTCAGCCAGGCTCCATCCGAGCACCCTGAATATCATAATCAAGGCACTGAAAACTGCCCACCGAACTGTTACGAAAAATGCTGTGAATCGATAGTAGAGGTATGCTGACAGGAGAGAGGTTGGTTTTCAATGTCCACTGCATCTCAGGGCGACTCCTAGGGCCCTGTGTTATGAAACCATCTATAGTTTGTTGTTGTAACAGTGGCTTTGGTTTACATTACCCGAGTACTTGAAATGGAAATCTGGAGAAGAAAAAAGAAGTCTTACAGGGTACTCTTGAACACTCCCCCCCCCCCTCATTTATTACACTGGACTAAAGGTGGACAAATTAAGCCCAAGTTAGCTCTGAGCAAGAAGGCACAAAAAAGCACAGTGTTGAAGAGAAAATGTTCATGCCAGTTTTTTCATACCATGGAGGATGTAGAAAACAAAAGGCATAGTGTATCTCCAATACACCCACACTGCACATGAATGTGAAGCACTCCACTCGAACTAGTAGGTCTTTTCTCCGCGACATCCTCTTTGGATCAAGTCCAATATACCACAAGTCAGCGAGGTGTATCATGACAGCCATTGTAGGTCCATTGAGCTAAAACCTTTTTATTTGGGACCTTGGGATATATCCTTCCTTCACCTAACCAACAATATCAGTAGAAAAAAAGGGTAAAGAGGAAGAAAAATATAGGCACTGATTTGCTGCAATATTCAAAGAGAAACTTGCAGAATAAAAAGCCTCTTATAAACACTTGAATCTCTGTTTGATGTCTGGGTTGGAAGGATGTGCAATTCTTTGCCGCCTTCACGGCTGCAGCTTCTGTGTTTGTACTGATGCTGACACCACTTACTGTTGCTCTCGAGACAAAAGGTATATTAGAGGTTAATTACAGTAAGAGGAAGGGAGGCGGCATACATATTTCTGAGTTCTTTAGAAGATGAAAAAAAGGAATTTTTAAAAATTAATTTCCTTCAGAAGCACTTGGAAGTTGCAGATGGGTTGTTAAAATGATGTGTAACAGTATTTACACATGCATAATGAAGATCAAATGTTAACCTTGAGCAAAATTGTAGTTTAAAAACTGATTTTTCAGTCTATAGTGATTCGTGTCAATTAGTATACTGAAACAGCAATAGACCGTATGCTGGATGGGTTGAAGTCACAATGAAAATACTTAAATCCAGGATGTTTTTATCTGTACTTGGCCACCAGGTTTGTAGGGATCAAAAGATTAAAAGAAAGTAATGCAACAAACTGCAGAGAAAAAGTTTTTTTATGGAAACATAAGAGTGAGGGGGGGGCAGGGGGGGGGGGAAGAGAAGTGAGAGATAGAGAGAGTAGGAGAATGAGGGAAGGAGAGAGAAGGGTAGAAGGGAGGAGAAACAGGCGTGGAAGGAGAGAGAAAGAGAGAGAAAGAGAGAAAAGCACCTGCAGGTGCAACTGTATTCAAAAGGAAATTCTGTGGAGGAAGGGGTACCTACTGTTGCTACTCGGGCCTTGCTATAGTACTCTACGCAACCCACTAGAGTCACCATATTTCCCTTATTCTGGGTGGTATATGGTAACTGTCACCTGAGACCTTGATGTGTTTACTCAGTAGCTGACTTAGTGACCTGATTATCTTTCATCTAAACAGATTGTTTGCTTGTGCACTTGTAACTGAGTGGTAGGCTAAGGATAATTACTTTGATATGATGTTTGGTAAAGATACAGTGTACTTTGAAATGGTGATTGAGGGTAATTGTTGGTGTTATAAGCAGCTTCTGTTCTGTTGTCACATTATCCATGCATTTTGATCTAAACAAGGTAAAATGGTAGGTTAAAAATTAATCTAGTAGGACTTAAAAAGTGAAATGAATAAAATATATATGAAAAGAGTACTTTAAAAATATGGATTGTTCTCATATTGTTTGGAGAGAAGGATTTTGACCTTTAATGATAATTTGAACTTCAAAGACCTTCCCATGCAATGAGAGTGCAGTGGAAGAAAACAGATAAGAGACTGTTTATTGTTATTTAGGCTATGTGTTAGCTGACTCAGGGACATCCTGTAAGTCTTGGGACTTATGATGCAATCAGCAAAGAATTAGACTGGGTTCCAATAAACCTATAGTACTAGCAGGATTGATCTAAGGGTGCATTCCCATAGATTTTAGATCGATTTATCCCCATGGAGAGTCTCACTAGATTACTGTCAGATAATCCGGCTTAAATGTCCGTCCCGCCTACTACAAGCTATAAGGGGGTAATTAACTTTTATGCCCGCTCGGCTGACAGCTATTTAGGGTGAACCCCCAGGGAGTTAGGTCCCCCACCCCAACCCCAACTTTACTTTGCCACTGTGTAGCCTTCAGGGCAAATGACATCATGTCTAAAAATCAATTACTAGTAGTTTTAAGTCAGTAACCAGATATCTCTCCCCTTATCTGTTTCTGTCTGGCTATCTTGTCTGTCTCTTCATATTTCCATCTGTCTATGTTTAATACATTTTTTCTCATTATATAATGCATTTCAGCCTAGTTTGTCTTACAGAGGTGTATATTGGGCTCCCAGGTGAAATAGACTGCTAAATTCACCATCAATTCATTTAGATGTTTGGTCTGGCCATTAAGTGTGAGGATTTTTGCTAGTCGTAACCTTTCAAAGAAAGTTGGATGTAATTGTCTGTTGAGCTCAAGTGCATTCGAATTATTTTTAAAAAAGTGAATATTTTTTTTATTCCTAAGATAATTTTCTAAAGCTGTCAATGTTATAACTAGAACCTTACTTAGCCCAATTATTGATGTTCATTTTAGACCAACATTTTAGTCCTCATTTACCCAAGATAAATCAGTAACAGTCCAAATTGAATTCAAATGTACTGATTTTATAAAAACAAATACAAATGCTTTTGATTTGAACCAGTACTATTTTTATTTTTAAGTGGAATACTTTGGATTAAATTTACCTTAGACTGAAAAAGACTAAAATTTTGGGCTAAAAATTAGACTGACTTTTAGGCTAAAAATTTAGACCAACTTTCAGGCTAAAAATGTACATCAACTTTTAGGCTAAAAATTAAGACGAACTTCAAGGCTAAAGTCTTATTGTGAAGCATGCAGACAATATTTTATAGAAGGAATATTCGCCTCTCAGTTGCCCAATTATTGGCTACTGCAGGTTATGGCCCAGTAGCGGCAACAGATACCATTCTGACTGTTTTATTGCAGGACGTTATGCCCCAAAACCTAATATCACTTCCATATTGCCTGCCATAAATCCCCAGTGCTTCCAGGGAATGGGATGTTGAAAGTGCCAATAATTCTTGCCTAATTTCTTGCAGGGATATGTTAGGGTATCTTTTAAGGAAGTTAACAGTACTATTCTAATTAAAATGCCTGCTATAAATTCCCAACATTGCTTGTAATTATGAGTAGAAAGGCGTGTTCACATTGAAGTTGGGTTTGGCCTTCTTGGTTTGCCTCTTCTCTGTGGCACATTTGTTAAAACCTGATTATCTACTTAGTACTGGGAACACTAAATGTTAAAGGAGGAACAAATATATAGACATCAGGTACAAACAGCAAAGATGGAAAGGATGTTTCTTTAGAAAAATCCCAGGCAAACAAACACACCCCTTCCCTATAGAGAGGGAAAGAGAAGGAAAAATCCAAGGAAGGAAATGGCAACCTAATAATTTTGCTGTTTATATATATATATATCTATGTTTGCATAAAGTGTTGTAGGTGTATAAATTCCTTAAAAAACATACAACTTTTTTTTAACTAGAAGACG